TAGATGTGAACTTTTCTAATGCGAATCTTTGAATTTTGGATAAGAATCTCTAAAATTTTCAAATGAGAATTTTTGAACTTTTCAAATGTAAATCTTTGAATATTAGATGAGAATCTCTAAAATTTTTAAATAAGAATCTTTGAAATTTTCAAATGCGAATTTTTGAAATTTTGATGTGAATATTTAAAATTTTTTGAATTAGACTCTTTGAATTTTTGAATGTGAATTTCTAAATTTTTTAAATGAGAATATTTGAATTTTAAATGTGAATCTTTAAAATTTTTCAAATGAGAATTTTTTAATTTTTTAATGTGAATCTCTAAACTTTTCAAATATGAACCTTTGAATCTTATATGTGAATTTCTAAGATTTTCGAATTTGAATTTTGAAATTTTAGATGTGAATTTCAAAAAATTTTCGAATGTGAATCTTTGAATTTTAGAAGCTTCATTTGTTAATCTTCAAAATTATTTTTGAATCTTTTGCAAACTTTTGAATCTTTATGAATTTTGAATATTTTGCGAATCTTTAAATTTTTTACAAATCTTGAATCATTTTTAAAATTTTTTACTAACCTTGAATCTTTTGCAAACTTTTAAATCTTTGTGAATCTTAAATCTTATGAACCTTTGACTTCTTATAAATCTTGCTAATTTTTTGTTTCTTGTGAATTTTTTAATTCTTGCTTTGAGACCTTACAAATTTTTAAAATCTTATGAATCTTTTGAATTTAACTGTGAATTCTTGAATTTCAAATTATGAACTTTGGAATTTCAAGTTAGGAACTTTTGAAAAGTGTGCAAATTATGAATCTTTATTTTAGATGAGAATTTTTGAATTTTTTTATTTTAAGTTAGATCCAAATGTTATAGGTGTCTATGTCTTTGCACAATTATTGTTTCACAGAAAATATGTAAATAAGGACAACTTTAGATACCTTATGGTGTCCAAAAATCTTTTCGGTATCAAATTTAGCTTGCAATCTTAATTAGACCTTAATTGGGAAATTGAGTTTTAAGGTCCAAAAATTAAGAGCCCAAAAATTCATTTGCATTAATTTTAGTTTAATTTTGGTTTAATTTTTATTATTTTTATTTTTTTAGTTATGACTTAATCAGTCAAAAGTAAAAAAAAAGTCAAAAAATGTAGGATTACTTTTGCACAAGGAAATATATGGATTTGTTTCTTGGATTCAATTGAAAGTTGGAAATTCAATGATTAATCACTTATGGAAATACTTTGGCATCAAGGCTGTTTAATAAAGTAAAGATTTTAGAGAAAAATCTGAAAAAAAAAATTTCTTGACAAATTGGGTGGAATTAAAGGTTTTCCAAATAAAAGGATTTAATCCTTATAAAAAGAATCATAGTCTGCAATTCACATGCATCAAGCATTACAGAAAGCAAGAAGCAATTACCAATCTCAAGGTAGCTAAAAGTAAAAATTTTTTCTGGGTTTTGGTTTTGAGTTCTTGGTTTTTAGGTTTAATTTTTTGAGTTATTTTAAACTTTGAGTTTTTAGGCTTTTATTGTTTTGGGTTTGATTTCTTGGTGTTTTTGGGATCACTTTTAATTTTTTAGGAATTTTGAGTTTTTTAAAATTTTTTTGGTTTTTAAATTTCTAGGTTTCTGGATTTTTCTTTAAATTTTTCAATGAGGATTTGAATTTCTCGACGAAGTTCATGACAACCCGAAGATTTTATGGTGACTAGATTCTAGGTTTTTGGGCAATTTTGGGTTTTTGTTTGAACTTTCCAGCACCATTTAAATTTTTCGATGTCAAAATCTGGATTTTTGGTTGGTTTTTGAAATTGAGTTAAGTTTTTTGGTGGGATTTCTGAAGAGAAAGAAGAAAGAATCAAATCTAGAGAAAAAAAGGAAGAGAGCAAGTCTAAAGAAAAAGGTTGAAATTTGTCTTTTTATACAAACTCAAAACAATGTTGTTTTACAGACTAGGGACCCGCTTTGAAACCTAACTTGAATCGTAAGTTTTTATTTTTCTATATCTTTTTGTTTTTTATTTTTGTTTTATTTTTTTTGTTTGTTTATTTTTCCTATCTTTTATTTTATTTGCTTATTTATTAGTTTAATTGTTCATTGAATTAAAAAAGTGATGAGAAAAAGAAAAAGGAAAAAAAAACCTTGGTAAAATATTTATAATTTGCATGTTTTAATTTTATTTGCATTATTTTTTATGATTATTAATTTATTTTTGCATGATTTTTTTATGAATTTAATTTATTTGCATGATTTATTATGATATTTTTGCATGACTATATTTACATGATCTTTGCATGTTTTATTTATTGTATTATTGCATGATATTTTTGATAGAATTTTTTATGATAATATTTGTAAATAAATAAAAAGAATTGAAATCTAATTTTTTATGAATCCGATGATAAAGTCTCTACAAGTAAATAACAAGTTTATCTTAAATACTTTTGAGGTGAGAAAAAATTTTTTTGATGAAAGCCTAAAACTTTTTTTTTCAATATTTAAATATCAAAATTAATAAAAAACAATCTTTGATTAAAGTTTAAATTAGATAACATGTAATTAACATGGTATCAATTTTGGGCATAATAGGATGCTAATACATTTTCTGTATGTAACTGACTTCCAAATTTAGTTCTATTGATATAAATTATAACCTATTTTTCTTAAGAACCCTTAGTTTAAACTTAGGATAACTTTTAAAGAATAAAATCATATAGATGTCCAATCACACTTAAATAAAAAAATTGATGGTAATTTCATAGATATTTTTTTAATAGGTAGGTTTTTGAACTTAAACATTATGACAATTATTTTATATGAAAATTTTGGAAAATATTATACTAACAAAAAAAAAAAAAAACAAAGAATAAATAAAATGGGTAAGGTGTAGTATAATAAAAATTCTAATGATGAGCTCTGAATATATGGTATTTAAGTATAAATAAATGGCCAATACAATCAATAGTACTTGTAGTTTCTTTTTTTTTCTTTTTTTTGATTAAAAGGGTGAGTGAGTGTTTTGTAGTTACTTTTAACATCATTATAAATATATTTTTTTAAATTCGTTCATATTTAATTTTAGGTATATATTATTTAGAATAATATACTAGAGTCACCCAACTTTGATAATTATTTTATTTGTCATTAACTATGTAATTTAACATTTAAATAAGTTTTTTTTTTTTTGTTGTCAACCGGTAGTCTTTAACAAAATGCTAATAAATACATCACATATGCCATTGATTACATAGTATATCTATATCATAAAAAATATATCAAAATGATATGACAATAAAAAATTAAAAAATAAATTATTTTCCATATTTTTTTTGCCTTTTCTATCATAATTATATATATATATATATATTATTTTCCTTTCTCCTTTCTCTCTAAAAGTTTTTACTCTCCTCATTCTCTTTAACTTAAAATTTGACTATCTCAAAACTCAATTGTCAACGATCATTTGTTGCAAGCTCTCACATGTACTTTTAACTAGTTAAGATGAATTTTCTAACCTTACTTCTTGTGATTTAGTTAAATTCATCGAAACAACTACGATAAAAACCAAAAAAAAAAAAAAATCAATTGTTGTGTGATTCATTAAAGTTTTGTTTGGTTCTAAATTAGGTTACCATTTGACATGATTAGAGTCACTTTTTGACTCCCATAATGCCTTGCATCTCATTTGACTACTTCTTTTAGTAAAAAAATATTTACTTAAAAATTAATAACTAAAAAATTAAATTTTATAATTAGATTACTAAGATTACTAAAATAAAAAATCTAACCATGTATTTTCCCTATTATTTGTTTACTTTGCCTATATGCTCCATATGTAATAATGTTTTTCAAGGAAGAATCAATAGAAAAGAAAAATATGCTTTTGTTTACTTCACAAAAAATGACTTTTAAAAAATACTTTTTGTATTTTTTTTATATCTGTTTATAAGAAAATTAATTGATTAATGAAAAATAAGTTATTAAACAACGAAAAATCAAGTTTTTTTTTTAAAAATTATCTTTTTTTTTTCAAAAAAGAAAGATAATTTTGAAAAAAAATTATTTATAGGTACGACTACTTACCAAACTCATAAACAAATTCAAGTCGGACCTTGAATATTATTTTTTTAAATTTAAACTTTATTTTACTCGACATAAAATATTATTATATAAATAAAAATATTTTTATTTAAATTTAAGTGAAAAATTAAAATATTAACATTAAAAATCTTTTAATATTTTAATTTTAAAAATATTTTTATAGTTCTACTTAAGTAAAGTCTTGAACATGATATTTTATTCTTAAACTTGGTTTAATCTCATATGAAATATTATTACATTAATAAAAAAAAATTTACTTAATTTTTAATTTAAAAAATTAAAATATTAGCATTAAAAGTTTTTTAATATTTTAATTTTAAATATTTCTACATGATATATTTTTAAACATAAATATTTTTAATATTTCAATAATAAATAGTATTATATTATTATTTTAGTAAAAAAATTAAATAATATTTTATTATTTGAATAATTAATATTAAATAATATAATAATAATAATATTTTCATGAAATGAATATTTTTAATAATTTATTATTATTCAATTTAAAATTTTATTTTTATATTTTATTTTTAATGTATATATAATAATAAATATAAATAAATAATATTTTGTTATGATTTAATAATAGATACTTTCAATATAAAATATAACTATTTTAATAGTGTATATTTTTTAATATTTCAATAATAAATATTACTGTTATTATTAAATCAATAAAAATAATATTTTAAGAATAGAAATATTATTTTAAATATTTTAAAATATTTATATAAGTATTAAATAGTTTTTAAGCATTTTTATATTAATATAATATACTAATATTAAATATTATTATTAAAATATAATTTTTTTATTATTAATATATTTTAAACATATATAATTTTAAATATTTTAATAATTATTTTAGTATTATTTAAGAAATAAATTTTTTAAAAAATAACTAAAAAAATATTTTTCATTTGTTCATCAATCTCTACTTTTGAAAAAATAGAATGTTAAAAGAAACGGAGCATAAAGCAAAAAACTTGGGAAAGAAGTCAGTCAGGCTAGCTTAGAGCAAAAGGATTTCTGTTTCCGTTGTTATGGTTGTGGAAGAAAGGTCTTAAAAAGAAATTTGAAGCAGAGCGGAGTTTGGGTTAGGATTTAGGTGTTTTTGAGAAGGCAAAGCAAAGACAAATAAAAAAATGGATCTCAATATGAACGTGAACCCCCCTCACTCCATGGGCACAACCATCATCGGAGTCACCTACAACGGCGGTGTCGTTCTCGGCGCCGACTCTCGTACCAGCACCGGTATTCTGTTTCTCTCTCTCTCTCTCTCTCTCTCTCTATCTTTAAGTATTGTTAGGGATCTGAATGTGAAAGTAATTTTTTTTTTTTTTGTTGAATTGATTGATTAGGGATGTATGTTGCTAACCGGGCATCTGACAAAATTACACAGCTCACTGATAACGTCTACGTTTGCCGTTCTGGATCCGTAATTCTTACTTTCGTCTACTTTTTGTTCTTTTGTTGATTTTGGACCTCTAAAAAAAAAAAATGTTTGTTGTTCCTTAGATGTGATTAAAAAGATTGTCCTGTTTGCAGGCCGCTGATTCTCAGATTGTTTCCGACTATGTCCGTTATTTCCTTCATCAACATACGTCAGTTCTTTCTTATACTTTGTCTTATTTTTTGCTTCTCTTTTCTAATTTTGCTATTTGGTTTTCCAATAAATGCTTGTTCCCATTTCATGTACTTTATGCTATTATGCTAATTCAATGCTAACATTTCAGGAGTCTAAGTGTTTTGGTTCGAATGTCCTCAATTTCTTCTAGCTAGCTCTAGTTGCAATTCCCAAACCCCTAATTAGTTTCAGCATTTTGCAACTCTTTATCTACAAATTGCTTTTGTCTTTTTGTTTTATATTTACTTGATCGTTGATTCTTGGGGTATTATTCTATTGGAAGTTCTTATTACCGCACTTCATGAGATTGTATTTTCAAACTTCTAGCATTACTGATTGTTTTACAGCTTTTTTCTTTTTTTTGTGTTTTCCCCTACATGAACAGGATACAGCTCGGGCAGCCTGCAACAGTCAAGGTTGCTGCAAACCTTATCAGGCTGCTATCCTACAATAATAAGGTTTGAGCTTACCATTTAGAAACTTGTCCTACTATTCTGTTATTCTTTGTCCTTTTTCATTTTTCATTCTGTTTATTTCTTCTTTTTGTTTTTTGTTTTTAATGTTTGCATGGGAGATTAGTGTCTGTTTGTACATCCCCACTCTATTGTACAGATTTATGTACAATTTGATACTTAAATCTTCCATCCCGTCAGTTTGTAAGAAATTCGTTGTCATTCTCTCCCTTTATAGAAAATGTTTCTGGTTAAAAACCATTTATTTTGGAATGCATTTCAATCAACACTTTGACATTGAAATTATGCTTTAGTTTTGCTCCATTTATCTGCATGATTTATATTTCTAGGAGCAAATGATGATCTTTTATCTTGTTCCTATAATTCATGTTTGTGATCTTGACTCAGTATTATTATCTTGTGAGCAGAACATGCTTCAGACTGGCCTTATTGTTGGTGGGTGGGATAAGTACGAAGGCGGTAAAATATATGGAATTCCTCTTGGTGGAACACTGATTGAGCAGCCTTTTGCTATTGGAGGTATGCTATTCTCTTTATCTTTTAACTTTGTGTATCCTTTATTCTTCAATTCCAGGAATTAGGCTTGGTGCCTGTTTATGTCTTCTGGTGTTGGGTTACTTTACATTTCTTTTTGAATTGTTCTGCGGAATGCTATGTGAAATGTTGACAAGTATCACATCATTGAGTGTCTAGTAGTTACGATTACAGAAATGCATGTGTTTATACAGAATTGACATTTATATTGCCTTGTTTGGACAAAGGTTTCCCTACCCACTTATCTGCATATTGCTCAGATTGTTGGTTGCCTCTTTCTTGCCTTAATTCAGCTGAGAAATATGGTGTTAACCTAAGGAGGTTCAATGCGGTCATGTAACCTTGAGAGTTTTTGGACTGATATAATTGCTCCCATAATTTGAAATCAGTGAGTCAGTGGTAAAATATGTGAAGTCTTCTCCATAATTAGTTAACTGATGAAATTAGATGTAACTATTCTTTTTTTATAATTAGTAGTTCCTTGAAGTTCAAGATCACCTAGTTTCTACCGTTGACAACCTAAAATAATGGGAGTTTGGTTAAAAACATTATGGAGGCCACTAGCAAGTGGTATAGTAGTACTTTTGCAGAAAAATGGTTCTCATTTGGCTTGATGTACATTGCACAGGATCTGGCTCCAGTTACCTATATGGGTTTTTTGATCAGGCATGGAAGGAAGGAATGACAAAGGATGAAGCTGAGGTACATCTTTTGTACTCAAGCTTTTTGAATTCATATTTCTCCATGTTTCCTTGTTCTTTTCTTTTAACAACTTTTACTGATATACTTATTTTGCGAAAAGTTTAATTGTTTGGTTGACCATAGATTTACTATTATAGTTTTATGGAATTTCATTGTAGCAACTAGTGGTTAAGGCAGTTTCTCTTGCCATTGCTCGAGATGGTGCTAGTGGGGGTGTTGTTCGCACTGTCATTGTAAGATATGTTCCACTCTAATGAATGATTCTTGTATGTTAGTTTGAATTCTGTGTACAGCACGAAACCTTTGATTTTTGCAGATCAACTCTGAAGGAGTGACGAGGAACTTCTACCCTGGTGACAAACTTCCACTGTGGCACGAGGAATTGGAGCCGCAGAATTCATTACTGGATATGCTGAACGTTCCTAGTCCTGAACCAATGAATATTTAATCAAGGGGACTCACCTTTTAGGTGTTGTTAAGCTGCTAGATTTGTTCTCATTGCAAGCTTTTTATTTCTTTTTGTTCTTTCTAAGGCAGGATTTTTATGTTTAGTTGACCCAAAAAACAATTTATCTGTTATGGCTTGAGTGGGAATTCAGTTTCATTTAAATGGCACTAAAACCATTTGTTTCATGATTTATTTTTGGATGGTATGGGTGCTATCCTGAATTTTTGCTGTTGAGCCCATGGATAGGATGGTTGATTGGTATAGGATGTTTGATTGGTTGTGATGTGTCACTAGAGAATGGACCTGATAATATAAAGTATGATATTGTGATGTCATATGAACATGATATAAAAATATGATACGAAAGTAATAGGGTTTAAAATTTTAGTAATAACTTTATATGAGTTTAATAAAATTAAAAATATATATTATGTTTTTGTATTGTTATGATATATAATTTTTGTATAAATTATAATATAAATATATAAAATTTAATATTTTACATGAATTTTATTCGATATGATATGATGCAATGTTAAATCTATAAGAGAATTTGCAATAATATATAAATTTTAGTATTTTACACGAATTTTACATTGGTCATAGCTCACAAGGGGGCAAAAAAAAGTAAAAGAAGGTGGGAGGAATGGGTTGCGTTTGCTTGGGCTAAGTCTTTTTTTGTTGCGAGGTTTTTAGCTTTTTGTGATGATTATAAAAGGTGAAAGAAAGAAATTCGGTGTGGAGTAGAGTGTAGTGGTGAGAGCTGGAGAGCTCATAGCTCTTGCTTTCTGCGCTGTTTTAATGAAAGAGAATAGCAGGTGGGAGTTGGTTAGTCTGTTTTCCTGCTTCAGACAGAATGCAAGTGCAGTGCAGTGCAGTGTTTATCTCAAATAATATTGAAATTGAAAGATAAAAGAGTAATATAATTTTATATATCAATACCTACCAATATTTATTAACTCAAAAATAAAAAATAAAAAACTAGTGCGTGCCTATGGCCTTTTGGGTTTGCACTTTATAAACAAATACATATATTTGCTGCTGAACATGCACACCACCTTTGAACATTTAATAAAAGAACAAAGAAAACAAATTTGAGGATTTTTTAGTATTTATTTATTTTTATTTGTAAACAAAAAAAAAAAAAAAAAAGAGGTGATAGGAAACGTTGACTAAGTCGAATTGTTTAGTAAGGTAGTCGTAGAAGTAAAATAAAAATAATAAAAACAAGTGTCATATTGTAAAGTGTCTTCTCTTGATAATAGTGTTGGGCTACTGGGCTATTGTGAATGGGTTTGGTTTTCATTTCATCGTACATTAAAGTAGGTGGAGAGCTGGATCGGAGAAAGAAGAGAGGAGAAATAAAGAGGAGAAAATGAGTGGCAGTGCAGCAGCAGTACACAACGTATTCGTATATGGAAGCCTATTAGCCGATGATGTAGTACGCGTCCTCTTGAATCGGATCCCCCCTTCCTCAGCTGCTCTTCTTACTGGATTGTCCGTTTTCTCTTGTATTTCTTTTCAAGTTTTATCATCATCTGCTACTATTTCATTTTTATTTTACATTCATTCGCAATTTGTGCAGCCACAGATTTAGCATTAAAGGACGCGTTTATCCGGCTATTCTCCCCGTCCAAAATGATCAAGTTATTGGCAAGGTATCTCCCTCCTACATCCTAATTACTTTTACATTTACTTTTAAAAAAACCTCTGATTCATCCCTATCCCATCCCGTCCTTTTACTTTGTTTTTATATGTATTTACCCTGACAAAAAAAAAAAAGAAGGAGAAACGATCTCTAAATTCCCTTTCCAGGTTTTGTTGGGAATCACGGATACTGAATTGCACATTCTGGATGAATTTGAGGATGTTGAGTACCAAAAGACCCAAGTTGAGGTCTCTTTGCTGGTAAGCCGTATCTGACTCTATTACCATAAATAAATACAAGTTATAACCCCGTCCATCTTTTCTTGTTTCTTTGTTAACGCTGTTGACCCTCCTTTTGGCTCATACAAATACTTGTCTGTTTTGATTCTTCAAGTTCCAACTGAAAATTTAATCATACGCCCGTTGGCTTACTCAAACTTACCATTCTTCATCCGATAAAAGGAAAAAACACCCTCAAAGTAACACGACATTCCATTGATTAGTTTTTTTTCCCCCTCTGCATCTCTGGTGTGGCTAAAAGAAAAAAATTATAGACCGTCAGTCATTCCATTATGCAGGAAAGTTCTGACAAGTTAAAAGCTCATGCTTATGTCTGGAACAACGCAAATGATCCCAACTTGTTTGGAGATTGGAATTTTGAGGTATGTTCAGTTTTCTTCTTTGCCACTATTTCAGCTCTTCAATTTTTATTTTATCAAAAGGAGACACGAATGATGGGTGGAATGTGATTTTAGATTTCAGATAATTTAGATAAACATGTTGGTCCAGACAGCTTGGTCTATAATTCATGCTTTTTGGTTCCCTCCGTGCTGCTATGTTAATGAATTAAATTGTTTTATGAGATGTGCGTTACATTTCTCAAATTGCATCAGTTCTTAGGTGGATGTGGGATTAATTCTTACTCCTTGGATGGCAACAAAGTTGCTCCGTACTTCTTTGTGGAAAAAAACCAGTATATTTGAAGTCACCTATCAATTACTGCCATTTATGCTATTAAACATCGTTCAGATTCCTAACTCAATTTGATCTATTTGGGATTGCATTTGAGTGGTAAAAATAGATAATGAAGTCATTCTCTGGTCTCTCTGCTGCTTTATATGTTCATAAACGAAAGACCCTTTTGCAGTATAGTATGTTAGTTTTGTGTTTTTGTCCAGGTGCTAGTGTTTCATTGTTCAGATGACCCATCTTGATGTTATTGCAGAAAAGTGTAAAATTGTATTGCAAAAAGAAAAACTCTCTTGACTGGGCAGGTGACAAGAACGTAATAGTACCGAACCCAAAATTCAGTGAAGAAGTATATTTTATCATGATGAGAAACAAGAGATCTACAACTTCCCTTACTAATGTGTGTATATGTTTTATGCACTGAATTATTTGTTTTGTGATTCTATCTTTGCATGTGTTTAAAAGGAATGGGCACGAGTTCATAAGGAAAGTTTTATCAAGATGACCACTGGATTTATGGAAGAACTGGAGCTGCCTGAACCAAAGCCAAGAGTAACCACATATGAATCATTCTATCAGCAAGATGCTGGAAAGTGATCGTGTTTGCCTTTTCCAAATGTATATTCTCAACAATGATGCTCTATTATCGTTGATCACTGTTGGTTATTAGTTTGTTTTGCTTTTGAATGAATAAATTACCGCATGCAGATTGTTTTTTTTCGTCGGTATTTTGTGAGAATGGAAAATTGTTTCATTGGGGATGACAATGAGACAATCTGAGGTATCTGGTTAAAAATGGTCCATTAGGGAATTTATCTAACGTAAATGGCAAAAAAAAAGGGGGGGGGGGGGGGGTGTGGGGTGGCGCAGTTTTTACCTGTCAGCTGATGTTTCTCGGTCTAAGGGAAAATAATCTTATGGAAAAATTTCAAGATGGGTAAAGATCTGTAAGCTCGAAGGCATATGGTATGGCATTAAAGCAAGATGGCTAATAAGTGGTTAGACTCCGCTGACGCACGCTTTGCGGGGCATCTCTTCCCTTCATATATTTCTATTCTATTTTGCGGTGGGCTTTACCTTGGCCGTAAGAAGATTTGGCTAAAACAGCCCCTTTAAGTTTATGCGGTAGGCTTCACTTCACCGGTAAGAATTTGGTTGTAATCGTTCACATAAGTAAATGAATTTTAAAATATTGTTTATGATTATTTATTAAATTTAATAAACCAAAAAAATGAATTAATCTAAACTTATTTAAAAATTATTCGTTAAATGTTCTGTTCGTTTATATTATCGAATGTAAATGAATTGAATATAAAAGAATTTTTGTTATACTCATAATTTGTTTATTTGATTAATAAATTTAAAAATTTTATTCGTAATCGTTTGTTAAATTTAATAAATGAATATAGAAAAAAGACTTAAAATATATTTACTAACGAAATCTATGTTATTTTACACCTCGAACTACCCATATCATGAATCTTCTACTTATATAATTTCCCTTTATCAACTTGCTCAATTCACTAATTTGCTACAATAAGATCCAATTACGACTAATCCTTTTCTTTTTCTGTTTGTTTGTTTGGAGCAAACTATCCTAAACCTACATGATAGAATGGGTTTGCATTGCCATTTTTTTTCAACGAAAATTGATTGAAAGTTTTACACGTATCTTGTGTCTGTTTAACTAAATATGTTTACTTAAGCAAATGTATAAACCCATCTGTGATGTTCTTAAAATTCCATCCAAAAGATAAGATGATGATTACAAAAAGGGAAACAATATAACAATTTGCTTAAAATGTGTGACTTTGTTCATGTGCAATGGAAAATACCATAAAATTTAACCTCAAATGCCTAGAGATTGTTGCTCTGTTTTGATTTTCTTTTTCTTAAATTTTTGAAAGGAAGATACGTCAAACAAATTCCTCTAAATTTAACTTTAAATATCCAATTAATGAATTTATTCAAATGCCTAGCAGCACAATATAATTTTGGAGAGATGCGACACGAAATTATCATAAATCCACAATTGCCTATACCAGGGATGAGCCTTCACAAATAAATGGCAAATAGCCTGTTGCAACTTAACCTTTGCTGAATCCAAACATATAAATTTGCAAATCAAAATCATATACATAGAACATTAAAAGTATTTGTGCCAAGTTGTCTTGATGAGGTAAAAAATTTGAAATCATAAGGTTGGAGGTCGATTTGAAATAAAGACCAAAGATTTTTTTTATGTTTGTGTTATAACGTTTAAGTTGATATTTAGAAAAAAAGAAAAGGAATCTTAATAAGAGAGAAGAAAATTGAATGCGCATACTTAGTGTAAAGGGGATATTTATATCTATAGGATGAAAGTATTGGGCCTGGATGACTCGAGCTTTAAAAGTTAAGTCTAGGGCTAACAATGTTGATTCAACCTGACTTGAAAGGTGGTAGTTCAATTGAAGGGTGACAAGTCAGCATTCTCATGTGTTTTCAGGAAAAAATTAAGCTAGCCAAGCTAACTTGGACTCCAAAAATTTAGGTTGAACCACCATGTTAGCTCGGGTCAAAAAGACGAAATCGGCCTAGCTTTATTGATGAAATCATCCTTTAAAAAAAAGTCCATACTATTTTTATGACCATAAAATGTTAGAAATTTTCAATAAGTGGACTACTATTAGTTGGTGGTTTTACTATTTAATAAAATAGGTTGATAAATTTAATCCTAATACGAGACAAGCATGAGAGCTTAAATAATTTAATTATGATCGCTTATATGTTAGCTTTGCACTTTTAATTAGATTAGTGTGGTTTGACAGTTGTGTAGGCCTTTGACTTGATAAACCTTTGATGGGGAGGTTTCTCCTTTGATTGGGAGGCTTTTAGGGTTTTAATAATATTTAGCTAAGTTCCCATCTTTACTTTTAATTAATGGTATCTATCCATTAAGAGCCACCAGCAAGAGAAAAGCAAAGATGAAGACCTAATCTTTTCATAAAACTACAGTTGCTTTCACTTATCAATTATGTTTGCCAAACAAGTATGCAATTGGGTAAATTTAGTATTCTAATGTTCAAATATGGTTGTTGGAATTTAAAATTGTGCTTACAAGTGGTATCATAACCTTTTTATGTGAGATTAGAACCCAAAACATTATTTTCAAATTTGTTTTGAATAAAAAATATAATGTTTTGGGCAAAATATTATGCTTGTCAAAATCCTATTTTTGGTCAATCTTTTCCATAAATTAGTTTAGGGCTTTTGTTGCTCTTGAAACAAGTATTGAAATCGTACCAACAATTTCTAATAACTTGTTTTATAGAGAGAAAAATCATGGTGTAAAGTTTGATTCAAAGTTTAAATTAAATTGTATGGATTTATTAAACTTGATTCATGTTATTTTGATGCGATTTGGAACATGATTTTGTAAATCTATATGTTAATTATAGCTAAAAGGATTTAAATTTATCAAAATCAAAGGAAACCATGAACTATTTAAAAATGCTTTAAAAATGCTTGAAACTAGTGAAATATCCATATTCATAAAAAAAAAAAAAATCAATCCATGCTACTTTACAAATAAAAAGGTATAAATCCATTGTTGAGTAATGGTTAGAACTTCAAAGGCAAATGCTGATAATATCATAGTTTTATAGAGTTGATAGTAGTTTTGAATTGATGTGGACAAGGGATCATTATTGGATCTTGGCACATGTATTTTCTGTCCACTATTTTCCTATATATTCATTATCATCGGTTTCGTTATTAACTTTCCTTTTGGATTAAATCAAAGAAGGATAAAGATAGAATTATGATGTAACAAGGACTCCTGCATCTATTTGGCCAAGAAGAGATCTTATTGAGGAATGACTCTTTGATTATCTTGAAAAAGTTTAAATGCAAGATAAATACTTTTACAAGAGATAAGGCTAGAGTTTCTATTCAAGAAGGACTTTTGAAGATTTATCTCATGAGTTTGAACTTAATGCAACCATATTAACAAGATTAGTCTTGGAATTTTGCTTTAGCAGAAACTTCATTTGAATTTAAAAGAATGATGACATAGCAAGACAAATAAGCATGGAAGACCAATCAAAGAATCACATTTGGCCACACAAGCTTCATTTCACCCTTGAAAAGTCCCACATTCGGCCAACCTCTATCAAGATCAAGGTAACATTGTAATATCTTAAGTGTTTGAGATAAAATAGGACTTTGTAAATCTTGTCCCCCTATGGCTGAACCTATCACTACAAATAGGTTGGCTTTCCTCTTTTCTAACACATCCCATTCATTCCCACTCTTCTCGTTTTTTTTTTTTTTTTTTCTCCTTTTTAGGTTTTACTTAGTTTCCTTATATTTTGGCTAGGGGGACACTAGCAATTGTTTCTTAAAGCATTCATTTAGTACAAGTTTATTCTTATTCAAATCTCTCTTTCTCTATTTTCATGCACAACTCTCTTTTTCTTTTCAAGGTTCTAGATCTCGGTTTTATATGTTTTTTTTACAATCGGCATTCATTCAATTTTTTTACATGTTTTTGGTTTTATTTTGTTTCTTGTATAATTGGCTTGCCTTTGGAGCTATTAAATGACAGTTATTTAGCTTGGCATTCAGTTATCACATTTTCATTATTATTTTTGTTTTCAAACCAATCACTTTTTTGATTTATCTAAACATAAGGTTTGAAAGAAACTCCTTTGGTACTTGGTTTCGCACCCAACATTTAAAACATAATCCTCATAAGAACAATACTCTACTTACTCACTATTATTACTTGATGTGACCTGTGCACTTGCAGGCTATATAAAAAGTAGCAATCACTATGCAAACTATGTAAAAATGATGAGGAAGATAGCCATGCATGAGAACCATGCGATGCATGCAAAGGTGATGAGCACTATTCGGCCAAAACTTGAGAAGCTTACAAGATCCATTTAGCCATGCATACAAGATGAGGCCAAAAAACCATGCAAAGTTGACAATATGTAGCCCATGTCTTAGCCAAACAAAAAAGCCTAATATGGCAAGCTAGCATGCTTGACCAAAGAGGAAGAATCATGAGGAGTTTTTAAATTCAAAAGAGTTTTAAGTTAATTCAAAGAATCAAGTGAAGACTATGAAGACTAATTGAAAAACCAGCCAAATCCTCATATATCCACATTCAAAATTCAAATGAGTTTGACATGGCATGGACATATAAGCAAGGGCAGCACAAATGGACCAATCCAACTCAACATGATCATCATCCATTCAGCTATCCCATTCAAGTTCAAGAAGATCACATTTTTATATTCCAAAGAGTTTAAGCTAAATCAAAAGTGTCTAAGTTCATCCGTTCTACCCCAAGCTATGCACCATAAACAAGCTACTTTAGCTCACTTGTAAATTATCCCTCATTCAATTTCTTTTCTTTCTTTTTAGTTACGGTTTCACTAGTTTTTGTAATCTTTCTATTTCCATTTGGCTAAGGTGACAGACTAGTCAAAGTTTTTACTTTTCAAAGTTATTTTTCAATACAAGTTCAATTCATATTTTACTTAAAGTTTTTCTTCATTTACTTTTTGAGCAATCAAATTCACTTTCATGTTCTCTTTAAGATTTCAATTTTGCTCCTTACATTTACATTACTTGCACTTTGCTCTTTACATTTCTTTACATTTATCCAATCCTAGTTCTTTTAAAAGCATTCAGTTCTTTACTTGTTTTCCACTTACATTTCCTTG